TAGAAAAAGTTTGGGAAACACTCGCCTAGATAGACAAAGCGCGTCGTGTCGAATGTGAGCCCTATCTTATATAATCTAGCTACAAATAAGGCATAAGACGAAAATCAATCATAATCTAGTATTGGATGAATGGGATGATTTTGAATTCGCTTGATTCAAGCATGCTTTATTAAGTAAAAAGATAATCTTTCTAATGTAACTTAAGAACAACCAGGATTAGCTACACCGTAATAAACCAAATAACTATTTGTTAATTTGGGCAAAAAGGGAAGAAATCGAAAGTATCAAATTGGCAATTTGATTAAAGAGTTTGAAAGCAGCTTTTACATAATTGGAAAATAGGTTTGGGCAAATTTAGATTTGAAAGTCATACCATAAAGACATCAGATATAGGAGAATAATGAGCCAATAAAAGAGAAAAATAAGCCTTTATATAAAAAAGTAGGCAAGATGAACTCGGAATGAGTGCAGCTACATACAAAAGTAGTAAAAGATAGTCTAAATGAATGCATTTGATTAACTCTGTTAGCTCAAGATGCCTAAATAGATGACCCGAAACTCGGAAAAGTCAGAAATGCGCCTTTCAACATCATACCGAGAACATATAAGGCTCTAGGCGCCTAAATGCTAGTTAACAATGTGCGTAGCACGGCCAATGATGGTCATATGCAGTTCCATCATTGCAAGATGAGTAATACTCATAGTTTGATTGCAATACAAAAACAAAAAGCGAGCTCATGAATCCTCGCCAAATGGAGTCTCTGAGTCATCAGCCGCTAAGCTTGACATCGAGACCAGGAACGTCATAAACATCTCCATTAGGACTGTCTCCGACACAATCTGCAGTTTCTATAGTCTCCACTTCAGAGTTGTCCGAGCTTAAGACACAGGAATTGTGAAAATGAGTCACATCAACAGGTGGCAGGTTTTGGGTCGGACGCTGGGGTGAAGTGGCAGATGAAGAATTCACCATGGGTATATTAGACCGGGAAAAACTGTACTTGTCTTGTAGATGTTGCCGAAGGCCATGAGGTTGAGGAGAAAAGAATTTCTGCCATATCACGAGCAGGGTTGTGACAAGGTTACCAGAGGCCATCACAAAGAAGAGGAAAGCCACTACAGAAACCTGCTTATAAAAAAATATATGCGATCTGACCATAATATATTAAAATGAATGATATGATTATCAAAGAAACAAAAGCTACACTTTAATACATTACAATGTGGTTTAGGATAAACTAAAAGTTATAATAGATAATAGTCCCCTGAGATGATTAGACTATACGAGTGGTACCATGAAGTCATCTTGCAATCAAAAGGCAACATAAAAGACGAAATAATGTATAAGAAAAATAATGTGTAGAAATCCAGATAGTTTCAATATAAATGGATTGTATATGGAGGGCCACAGTGCGTAGAAGTAGTTATTTAATTTTGGTCCTTGGCAAAGTCCTCTTACTGCTATTTAAAATATAATATTGTCATTGTAGACCTAGAGGTGAATTCGAGTTAAGCTTGGAGTTTTTATTAGTTAATATATTTCGAAATATGCAAATTCTGATTGGTTCCAGACAAATGACATGACGTGATCAGAGAGGTTTAGTGACAGTCTTTTGTGCACATGACGAGATCGACTTTCTGATAAGGATGTGATATTGGTGAACGGCTACGAACGTGACCAAACTATTTGATGTACGGAGTAAGGATGGTTCTTAACGCCTAAATGGGACATACAAAGTTATGTAAGGATCTTAAAGCTAACAAACATTATAAATAAAGTGGTTTGGCCTCATCTTCACAACTTGGTCGTGTAGTCAGGGTGGCCTAGTTGGATATGCCTTGTCCCAAGCCCTCTACGATAGTAGT